TAGGCCAACCCAGCACCACCCCTGTACCTTGCCTGGCCCAGACTCCCAGGAATCCAGTCTACTGCATGAGGGGGGAAAGTTTGAAAATTAACAGCTATACCACAGGCAATCAGTCCCAAAGAAGGCTAGGAGATTGGGAAATGTTCTAGGTCCTAGTTTGGCAATTGGGTGATTCTCTGGCAACAGAATCCAACTGTCATATACCTTTCTTTCTAGGATTGTTAGGACCATGAGTATATCATTCTAGACTCACCTTTATATACATATCTTTGTGTTTAATAAGACCAAGCCAGGATATACTGACCTGAACTCAGCCTTATGGAGAGTTACCAGAATTCCAATAATGTCAAGTACCTAACAAGCCAAAATGAACAGCTGAAAAAGTCTCAGAATCCATTGATTTTTCAGCTCAGCTCATCTTTGTCCTTTAAAGATGGATCTAGCTGTAAAGAATACAAACTGAATTTCTGAACACTTCCTATATCAGATGACAGTGTTTTAAAGAGAACATATAGCAGCATTTTGAGAGTGAGGCTGTGGGAGTCTACAGGTCTAGGAATAAATCTTGGAAATATTTCTAGCTAGCTGTGCAATGTAAACCTTAGTTCCTTCCCTGTAAAATAGGTTGTTGTAAAGATCAAATAGATAATGGAGATTTAATTAAATGAGTGCTGTCAAGGAAACCTCAAGGCAAAGCTATTTTTTCTCACTTGAGGAGGAGGATATTGGCCAATGTGAATATCATGAAGTCCCAAACTATCTATTCAAGACAATAATAAACAAATTGATTTGGGAAACAACATAGGGCACAGTATATATACAAACACCTGTAACTGGCAAAGCCAGTTCTCTGAGACCACATTTCAGCATGTTAGCTTTAAATAATCAAAAAAGCATGTGTGCACGCATGTATGTGTGTGTGTGTGTGTGTGAGAGAGAGAGAGAGAGAGAGAGAGAGTACACACATCACCTAATGTACTTTCTTTTCTCTACATCTTCTTGGTTGCTAAGGCATTTCTTTCTTCAGCTTTCTGAATAGCACAAATAAGTTTATAAAGTGTGACATACTCCATTGACTCATTTCTCATTGAATTGAGTTGTAGCATACCTGAAAGCATTTTGTTGCTCATAGATGTGTTCTGGTATGGTCCAATGCACTCAAGTGAGCTTAAACCTGACCTGATCATGTCTCCATTTACCTGAAGGTGATAATTCAGGAATCAACTGCTCAGTGTCAAGTATGAAAGCTCATCTTTCTGCCTGTTGTCAGGGATTTTTTTTTTTTTAAGGATTACAAACTATCTTTGACCTTCACTATGTTCTTATGTAAAGCCATCTGCTATTGCATCTGTCTTCACTGCATCTCCTGTCACATAAGACATTTCCACTTGAGGCTTTCTGCACAAATCACTGGAATTGAGTGTCTTCCGTTCAAATGTAACTTGCCATTGGAATTTAAATAGTTCTCTGATTAAAGTTACTTTCAGAAACATTACTGTACTGCCAACATTGAGAATAGAAAATGTGTTGCCCTGGCTGGTTTGCTCAGTGAATTGAGTGTCAACCTGTTAACTGATCCCTGGTTCAATTCTGGTCAAGGGCATATGCCCAGGTTTCAGGCTTGATCTCTAGGAGGGGGCGTGCAGGAGGCAGCCGATCAATGATTCTCTCTCATCATTGATGTTTCTAGCTCTCTTTCTCCCTCTCCCTTCCTCTCTGAAATCAATCAAAAGTTTTAAAAGTTTTTAAAGAAGAATGGGAAATGTGTTTTTGCAGCCATTTCCTACAATACTGAATTTTGCAAAAGCATATGTGTGTAGAAAAAAAAAAGTAGAGAATACTCATGATATTTGGTTATCTTTCATTTTGTTGTTGTTAATCATCACCTGCGGATATTTTTCTATTGATTTTTTAGAGATAGTGCAAGGGAGGGAGGAGAGACAGAGAGAGAGGAACAGTAAAGTGAGAGAGCCCACACCGGTTGGGGATAGCTGGGGATCAAGCCAGCAACTGAGCTACCCACCGCTCTTCACCAGGATGGAAGCTGGAACCTTACAATCTGCACGCCAACGCTCTATCCATGGAGATAAACCGCCTAGCGCTCTAATATATTTTTTATAAAAGTTCCTCATTCTACATAAAAATGGCTCTCTTAATCTGTGAATGCCAAAAATCTGTCTCGATGCTATCACTTTTATATTTTTTGATAACTTGCGCCTTAGTTTTTACCTACTTGCATAAAAAGCTCAAATGAAAACAATTAAAGCAAATTGTACTTGAAATAAAGTCAGTGTCTTCAAAGGGTTCACACGCACATATTCAGTCCACCCAACCTGGGCCCCTTTTTGAAAGGACCCCCGGCTCGGATGGTTTGCAAGCCACAGGCATTGACAAGTTGACTGTCTACAACCAGTTACACCTCATTTGAATTAAACTACAATCGCAGGCAACAGAAGCGCTCCTTTCATCCTTTGTAGGAAGGTCACCCAGCCCAGAGCGAGCGCCACGCTCCTTCTGGAACTAAATGGGGCGGGCCCCGCCTCTGGTGAGGGTTCCCCTTCACAGCACCCACCTGGGTGGCCAAGGGTCAAGTCTGACTTCCCAGCGGCGCCAGCGCCTCTGCCCCTTCCCTTTGGGGAAGCAGCAGATGGCCAGGGCACCCGCACCAGTGCCGCAGCTCCCCGCCGCAGCCGGGCAAAGCGCTTTAAACAAGGACTAGCGGGGCGCGGGGTGGAGAGGAGAGTGGGGAGTGGGAGGCGGGGAGGAGGGCGGTTTCCTGGTCTCCCTCCTCTGCAGGGCTCCGGACTGTTGTACACTTAAACACCAGGGTGGCTCACAAATCCCTGCCCCAACCCAGCCCCCAAAACCCCTAGTTCAGAGAGAGATCCAAGCTGTGACCCGGGAGAGCCCTACAGGACTGGGTGACACCGGAGCAGGAGCCCAAACCGACACCGCCACTGGGCTAGGGGTTCCCAAGGGGCAGCGCAGCCGCCCCTCCATAGCAGCCCAGGCTCGGAAAGATGAGTGCATGGGATCTCTCGGACCAAAGAGGCTCGCGGCCCATCACCGCCCTCTCCGCTCTGGGAGCCCAGCACCCGCACCCCCAAAGCACCTGAGCTGCAGCTCTAACCTGGAACCCCAGCCACCCGCCTCCTGGCCTTCGAGTCTGGACAGGTGATGGCACAAAGGAGCTTTCTCCAGAGAAGCTGGAGGACTTGGAGCGCTCACCATGCGCTCTGCTCTCCGCTGGGCTCCGGAGAAGGGTACCCGCGCTCACCTCTGCTGCGTTTTTCCTTTGAAACGCTTCACTCTCGGGTATTTCAAAAATCAGTGAAAACCGATGAAGAGCATTCTTCTTCCGGTTCACTTAATCTCTGTGAACCAATTGAATTCGTGTCCGAGGTCAAAATAGAAAGATAGCCTAGTAAGGGACCTGAAAAAGTTTGTCTTTAGCTGAAGTATGAAAGAGCTGTCCTTACTGTAATGGATGTGTGTTTTTATCCGGGACTGGAAATAAACCTTGCAAAAAAGATGTTAATGCTTGTATAAAAGGGAGGCAACTTTATCTTGTTCCTTGATGTCCTCAAAATGAAGTCACAGAGTTGCTAGAGTTGTTTTATTTTATTACTTTTTGATGAGAGACAGATGAGATGAGATGAGAAGTCAGTCTGTTGTCACACTTATTTATGCACTTGTTGCTTGTTGCTTGTATGTGCCCTGACCTGGGATCCAAACCACAACTTTGGAGTATTGGACAAATTTCTCACCAACTAAGCTACTCTTAGGGAGGGCAGCTAGCATTTGGAGTATAGCTCCTGGGCACATAAGATTATAATGGTTTATAACTTTAAAAAAAAAAACTTGTTTGGATGTTAAAAGAAAACGCTGGACCCTACCCAATGTTAACCTTACTCCTAGCTCTGAGTGGTTTGAATAGGGAGGAGGGGAGCCAGAGAGTGCTCCCCTCCACACACACACCAGCCTCTCTGCACAGACTCACTTCTCTTCCCTCCATTTCTCTTCTCCATCTCCTTCCTCCTTTTCATTTTATAACCTGTGTCTCTTTCTCTCTACTTTCTCTCCTCTTCTCTTCTTTCCCTCTCTCCCTTCTCCTTCTCTCCTGATGTCTACTCTCCCTGCATTGTTTGAGAGCTTAATATGTGTCAGGCTTGATACTAAGCAGTTTACTGGCATAAACTCATTTACTCTTCACAACTACCCTGTTCTTTATTTTCACCGGCTTTACCGATGAGACCATTGAAGCAATAGAGAGATTGGCCCAAGAAGTCAAGTGAGAAAGTGGTGAAGGCAAGCCTAACTCACCTCTTTATTATTTATTTTAACATACAAATTAACCAGGCCTGAACAATCTAGAGTCTTTCTCTTCTAAAAGGCATGAATCCCTTTTTTAAAAAATCTTTTGGTACAAAATATTCCGTTAAAATCTCAGAAATTTCTAGTGGCTTTAGCATAAACCCTCAAAGTTACCTGTGGTCACCAGGATGAGAAATGTTGAGGGTTGATGGTGGGAGTGGAGAAAAAGGGATAGAAGATGACAGAAATGATCTGAGAAACACTAATTCAACTGAACCATTTGAAGTAAGTAATATTGTTACTGATTTTACATCACTGATTTGACTTTTGCAATTGAAATAAGTAATTGCATTACTTAAGTGTGATTGTGCACATCCATGGACTTAAAGCTTATCTGACAACCTATGGAGAGTTACAAATGACTTGTGATTAAGAGTCTTTTAAATTTATGTTCAATTTTTATTTTTTATAACATACAAATATCAATTTATAAAGGGGAAAACAGAAGGCTAGAGGGTGTTTGCTTGTTAAATCTTGATCCATCTAAATGTATTTCCTTTCACCAAACTATTTTTAATGTATTTCTTTAAAATCTATTTCCACATAACAAGAGTTATAAGACTTAGTACTAAGCTAAGAAATAGGAAAAGATAACATGATTTTCATAACTGATAAAAACTTCTCCTGTGCTCACTTCAGCAGCACATATACTAAAATTGGAATGGTTCAGAGAAGATTAACATGCCCTCTGCACGAGGATGACACACACACTCTTGAAGCATTAAAAAAAAATGTTCCTATGTTTCAAATCCAGGCAGCCTTTTCCACTTTCCCTGATGCCTAACACCATCTGACTTCAGAAAAGTTTTTCAATATTTCTCTGTGAGGGTAGATTTGGTTTTAAATAATGATTGCTTCAATGGGCAGGATCATGATCCTAAGCAGGTGGTGAGAAGCCCTGGTCCCTGGAACTCAGGCTGAACAGACAGATGCTTGGGTTCACCTCCTTATGTTCTGTATGGCGGAGCCATCACTGAAACTGGAGGGACAAGCCCACAATATTCATCTGTGGAGAAGAAGGAATTGCAAATAGCATAAGGATCTGGAACAAAATAAGTCCTAAATAAATGTCATATTATTGTCACCATATATTAATCCACATATTTTTGTTTATCTTTAGGCTTCCTTTTACAAAGCAAAACATTTTCTGGTCAGTTGACACTCACACGTGTGCGCGCGCGCGCGCGCGCGCGCGCGCGCACGCGCACACACACACACACACACACACACACACACGCACACTAATTTCCAACAAAAGTTTTCTCACCACCAAGTCAAATACCCTCCCCCCAATCCATGCCTCCTGCTGTGATGAGTCAGAAAAAGTCCGTCAGCCACCCAATGACTGAGCCCATGTTCCCAACTGAGAGAGAGTCTGGTGCTGCCCTACACTAGATTCCAAAAATATAGGACATGTTTAACTGATTTAAATCATCAGGGAACAAACTCAGAACATCTCATAACTTATTAGAATCTTTCCACCATCCTCTGGGAAGAGTGCTGCAGACTGGGCTCTTAGTATACATCCTGCCCTTAGCTGAGGGAATGGCAAATCCTATATTTTCTGTACAACTGCAGAGTAATCCTCCCCCAGTGTATGAAGAGGGTGGGAGGAAGGAGAAAGAGGAAAGAGTACTTTCCAATTTTAACTCACAGAATTATATAATGGATGGCCTCCATTAGCTAGCATTCATTTTTATGCCCTTAGATAAAGTCGCTGCTTCTAACTTTGCTGTTCTAACTATGGTCCCTCCCAGTGACTTGAAGAGTATATTTTCACTTCTGTAAAATAGGACCTTTATCACAGCATGAGGTTACTGGAAGGAGTACATGGGGGGAAAGAAACCTACATAGAGCAAATATAATAGATTAGCATATCCAATAAAAATAGATCCTTCTTGCCAAAACCGGTTTGGCTCAGTGGATAGAGCTTCAGCCTGTGGACTGAAAGGTCCTGAGTTTGGTTCTGGTCAAGGGCAACCGATCAAGGGCAGGTACTTTGGTTGCAGGCACATCTCCAAGTAGGAGGTGTGCAGGAGGCAGCTGATCGATGTTTCTAACTCTCTATCTCTCTCCCTTCTTTCTCTATAAAAAAAATCAATAAAATATATTTTTTAAAATAGATCCTCCTCCATTGGTATTTGTTCTATGACTATTAAAATGTGTGAATCATAAAAGCAAGTTTCCTTTTGTTTGTTTTTGTTTTATTTTGCTTCCCAATGATGAAAGTTCTGTCAAAGTGGTATATAACAAAAAATGATTCTACAGTTTCATAATTCTTTTTGACAAAGAAATATATGTTTCTTGAAAGTAATTAGCTTCTTCCCATAAACCTAAAGATTTTAACATGATTAAAAATGATTTTAGAAAACAATTTTCCTGCTTGTTATCTGGGAGCCTGTGAAATGCTATATTGAAAATGGTATATTTCTCTATTACAACACTACTTAACATTTATTCTATGAATAATCAAAGTATTCAAGTGTTGCACGATTTGTTTAATGATGGCGTCTCTTTGAAAACTGTCTGCAGCCGAAGCCGGTTTGGCTCAGTGGTAAAGCGTTGGTCTGGCCTGTGGACTGAAAGGTCCCAGGTTCGATTCTAGGCAAGGGCATGTACCTGGGTTGCAGGCACATCCCCAGTAGGGGGTGTGCAAGAGGCAGCTGGTCGATGTTTCTATATTCTATGTTTCTCTCTCGTCGACGTTCCTAACTCTCTATCTCTCTCCCTGTCTCTCTGTTAAAAATCAATAAAATAGATTTTTTAAAAAGAAAACTGTCTGCAACCTAAACTATTTTTTTAAAGAATCTGCCAAAATCATTAGGTGAACAACTCTCATTTGTATCTTTATTTTTATTAAAGATTGCACAAACTTGAACCAAGATGAAATACTGAATCCACCGTACATCATTCATTACAAAACAACATACATCATATTTGTACCCAACCAAATAAGAGATTCTCTTTAAAATTATACATTGCATACTCTTAAATGCATGCTTTAGATATTTTACATTTGTCATTAGTCTCTTATAAATAATTGCAACTTTACCAATTTGTACACCTGCTACCAATATATATTCAAAGCGCCAAGAAGTTTTTGCAGAACAGAGGAAATGGAAACAAGTGTACGGATGCCACACCTACCCAATTCTTACTACTCTTTTGCCTAGGCAGCGAAATGCTAATACACACACTTAAAACCTCGTTCCAAAGGGCACAGGAAAAAAAAACAATTTAAAAATACGCGGCAGTTAAAATCAGCGCCCTCGAGGGTGCAGTGACTTTCACTTTAGTAAAGTGACCAGGCGTCCCGCTTTTGGCGGGACAGTCCCGATTTTTAACGATTTGTTCCGCGTCCCGCGGCGTTTTTTTGTTGTTGTTGTTTGTTTGTTTGTTTGTTTTTAAAGTCCTGATTTTTGGAAAGAATCTTACTTTGATATGATCCTAAACTTCGAGAGCAATTGGCCTGGGCAGGGTCCAGAGGCCTGGAGCGCGCCAGGACCCAGCTCCCAAGGCTGCCCAGGGGGCCAGGTTTCTTGCAGCCACCTCTAAACCTCTGAAAAAAAGACTTTGTCAACCAGTTCCCGCTTCTCGCCATCAGGAGTTCTTCTCCCCCCCAGACTAGAACCCCCACTTCTCTCTGTCCACTATCCCAACACACACTTTTCCCGGGAGGGACCCTGGTTAGGAGACGCGCTCACCGCCACCCCCAGCCTCAGGGTCGCTCTGGTCGTCCGCGAAGCAGACGTCCACGTCGCTGTCGTTGTCGCTCTTGGGCTCGCCCGGGTCCAGGGGGTGGTAGTCCGGCTCGGCGCCCGGAGGGCCGTCGCCCGCCTTGGCGAGCAGGCCCTGGCCGGGGTGGCGGGACTTGACGTGGCGCTCCAGGTCGCGGCGGCGCACCAGCACCTTGCCGCAGAACTCGCAGCGGTAGGGCGTGTGGCCCTCGGCGTGCAGCCGGATGTGCTTGTTGAGGTTGCTGGGGTCGCCGAAGGGCCGCAGGCACACCTTGCACTTGAGCGGCTTGTAGCCCGTGTGCGTCCGCATGTGGATCTTGAGCCCGTACTTGCGCGAGTACAGCTTGCCGCAGTAGAGGCACAGGTGGCCCGCCTTGGGCTTGCCCGCGCCGCCGCCCCCGCCGCCGCCGCCCGCGGCCCCCGCGCCCCCCGACGCCACCACGGCGGGCGGCAGCGGCCCCGCGTCCAGGCGGCCGCGGCCTTTCCCGGCCGCCAGCTCGGAGAGCTGGTGCGTGTGCATGGCGATCTCCCGGTCGATGCTGGCCAGGGAGCCCAGCTCGGCGGGGCTCAGGGTAGCCGCGGCGGCCGCGGGCCCGCCGAAGTAGGAGAGGGACTCGGGGACCTTGAGCAGCCCGCCCAAGTGCAGTCTGAGCGGGTAGTAGGCGGCGGCGGCGGCGGCGGCCGGCGAGCCGTACAGGAGCTCCCCGTTGTAGACGGTGAAGGCGGGCATGACGGCGGCGGGCAGGTGGCTGCACTCACCCGCTGGGTAGGCTTTGAGCCCGCTCGCACCCAGGGCCGGCAGCGCGCAGCGATCTAGGTGCAAACCCGTCGGCGGGGGCAGCGGCGCGCACCGGGCTCCGGGCAGCGCGGCGGGCAGGGCTCGCTCCACGTGCTTGAAGGCGGACGCCTCCTCCTGGGGGCCCGGGATCAGAGGGATGCGCAGCGTCTCGGAACAGGGCAAACCGGGCGGGGGCGGCAGCAGCGGCGGGTCCCCCGCGAGCAGACACTTGGGGTGGTGGTGGTGGTGGTGGTGAGCGTGGTGATGGTGATGGTGATGGCCCAAACCTCCCGCCGCCGCCGCCGGGTTTTCCCTGCTTCCCGGGCGCCCTCCCGCGCGGCCCCCTCCCAGCAGACCCGCCCCGGGTTTGCCCCCGCCCTCCTCCCGGGAGGCGTCGCCGCCCAGCGCGGTGGCGGCTGCCGTCCTGGCCAAACTGGCGGGTCTGAAAGCCGAGCGCACGCCCGGGTAGAAGGCCAGGCCGCCGCCGCCCCCCGCTGGGGAGCCCCCCAGGATGCCCAGGAAGTGGCCTTGCCCCCGGGCGGCCCCGCTCGGGTCCAGGGCGCGGTCCGGGGGCTCCTTGCCCTTTTTGGACGGCCCCCACTTGGCGGGGGGCGGGGAGGTGGCCGGGAGCGCAGAGGTGGCCTCGCGCTTGATGCTCTCCCTGGCTCCGCAGGCCTGGATGGGCGCCGGCGCCTGCGGAGGGGGCCGCAGAGTGCCCGCCAGGGCGGCCCCGACGAAGTGGGGCACTGGGTGCTTAGGAGGGAGGCACAGGCCATCGGTGGCGGGGGCCGCGCCCTGGCGAGGAGCGTGCTCCGGGTGCAGGTAGGCGCGGCCCGCGCTGCTGCTGGGCACGCAGTGGAAACGCAGGTGCGCCTTCAGGCTGTTGGGGTATCTGAAAGTCCTCCAGCAATACCAGCAGATGTAGCGCTCCTCCCCTGGGCGAGAGAGAGTAGAAAAGCGACCCTGTGAGAGGCGAACAAGCAGGATAGAAAGCGCCAGCGCACCCAAGGCAAAACCCAGCATTATATGGGGGGGAAGCAGTATTCTGGATCCCCGGAAATAATTGAGTTCGGTAGCCTCCCTAGAGCAAGGTCCCCGAGAAACCCTAAATGGCCAACTTTGTCGTCATCTTCACCCTCTGGAACTACTTAGAGGCCAAGAGAGGTGATTTGGGCGTTTCCAACGAAGGCTTTCTCTGGAGGCCATCGGCCATCGGAG